CACTTAAAATGCGTACTTCAAGCGTGCAGACCCTGAATTGGGACACAGCCCATGTTGCAGAGAGGTGGTTCACTGGACCAACAAGCTGGCTTTTTAAAAAATAACATATATTGCTGCAGCAAGGGGCAAAAGAAAAGTTACCCCTTAGACAATTTTTTAGTTTTATTTCCCTTGTTTTCCATGAAAAAAAGTAATGTAAGTCTATTAGCAGTAACTACCCGACCCAGCGACGTCACATTCTTTACTGACACAAGATAAACATGCTCTAAAAACTTTGAACAACGTATTCTTAATTCCAGCTTTACAGACAGTGTTAAATCTATGTCAGTGTTTGAAAACAGGGCTCCATGGTGTAAATTAGCCATTTATTATTCATTTAGGCTTTCATGTCCATTAAAATGACTGGCAAATAAAAAGTAAACTTATTTCTAAATCTTCATTTATTTTTCCATTAATAAATAATTTCATTTACATTTGCTTAATTATTATTATCAATTAATTCTAGAGAAGATCAAAAACATCACTATCTCCCCAACCAAAGTAGTTTCTTGACTATTGGCTAGGTAACTTTAAAATCAAAGTAAGCAAGTAAAACTAAACACTTTTTTTTTCAAAAAGGAAAAAAAGACTTACTTCTGCTATTTGGGGATTTTCCAAATTTGCAAAATTTAAAGTATTTTTTTTTATTAATTAATATTCTCAATAATAGCGCATTCTTAGATGTAACAAATATATTAAGTGACACTGCATTCCTGTTTCTTTAGAAATTGGCCACTATTGTTGTGCATTGGCTGTTGTAAGGGAGAGAAAATGCCATAGGTTTCTAGGGTTTCTTGCAGTATAAGACACCAAGGTACATTCACTGTCTGCATCCCCAAGGAACAGACAATAATCTTGCTGTATTATCACAATTTCTGCACCAGTGCAAGCAGGGGGAGTGCTCTGGTCATCAGTTTATTTATTTTTTTCATTTTCATTTGTTTTTAAAACAGCAAGACACAGATCATTAAATTTTAATTTAATTAATGATTTTTAATTCTGTGAATTAGAGGAACCTCCCTGGCACCTTACAGTTAAGAATAAAATATGATATATTTTTTTGAGGATTTTCCTTTATTTTCCTTAATTTACTTGTGTTTACTTTCTCTTTGTAAAAATAAATAGATATCAGGATGGCTTACCAGAGGCTACCACATTTAATATAATCAAAAAGATCTTACCAGTTTGCCTTTGATTATTCTATTTTGTGGTTTAACCACAGTGCTTTGTGTTTTTTAATGAAACATTCTTTTGCCATGTACATAGTGACCAAGACCAGCAAAATCTGTATTTTTAAGTGATTTTCCTGCTTATTTAACCATAATCATGACAATGTAACCACATGGTGTACTGACAGGTTACTTAATGTGTATAAAACATATAAAATAAAAAAATAAAATGCACACAAAAGCTAATACAATTCTATTTACATTTTTACTGCACTTAAGTACAATTTTCAGGTATCTCTTCTTTACTTTAGTATTTATTTTTCTGACTAAATTTTTACTTTTACTCCCTAACTTTTTAAACAATTATCTGTAGTTTCAACTTTTTACCTTTTCAAAACAGGCTAATTTTGCTTTAACACATTTGTGCCAAGTTATTATTGCATCACTGTGTGCCTCCACATCAAACTTATTTGATCCTAAAAAGTAACACATGAGAGGCAGGAATGGATAGGAAGAAGAGAGGTTAGATTTAAGGGTAAGGACTCCTCAGTGGGATTTGGGTTAGACTCTCTAGTATTTTCCTCCACTTAATGTCAACCGGAGTGCCACCACTGAACATTAGTTCAACATGTAAACACCACGTTTCAAAATCCACTTCTCCTGGGGGTTTTGACACACGGCCTGAGAATGAGCGTAACCATTTGGATTGGCTATGTGTTGCGACAGAGTCTTTTCTGATTACATGTTCCACTACTATACGCTGTATCTCTGGTGGGTTAGTTACTTCGTCTGTCACCACTGGAAGTCTGGTTGGAGTAGTCTTTGGTTTTACAACCCTACAAGGCTGAGATTTAGCTGAATGGGTGACTGGCTGGGATGTAAGGGGTCATCTGTGGTCGTAATTTAGCTTTGCTGTCTTTCAAGGGTGTAGTACTGTGGTCAGAATAACTGTCAACGTCATTTCCATCGCTCAAGTCAGTCAAAACAGGGTCTGGCTCTGGAGTATGATGCAGTGCTGGCCTTTCAATGCAACTAGTCTGCCATTTTACATTCTTGTTAGTCACATTTTCAATCTCATGGGGAAATTCGGACTCCTTATCTATGTAACAGACAATACTTTACCACTACAGAATGTAGAGAAAGTTAGGATCTTGAGCTTATGTTCTCTAGGAATCGACTAAGGAGCGAATAACACACAGCTAAAGAACATTTAACATTTATTTAAACAAAACCATAAACGGTCATTCAACAGTTCACAACAGTTCCAATAGTCCATATTTGTCAGGCCGTGTATTCAGTTTCATAGTCCGAAGTTCAGAGTTCAAAGTTCTTTTCAGTCTTTTCAGTTCAAGTGTGTGAAGTATGTGTGTAGTGTGTTAATGTACTACCCAGGTAGTGTATTGTTTTGAGAGCTCATAAGCTTATCTGTCAAGAAGTAACGCAGTTGTCACTTCTAAGTAGGCTGGAAACCTTCCTCATTTTCGCAGAACAGTTTTTTTTACCTTTGCGGCCTTATAAGCCTACACTGGTGTTTTTAAAAGTCATGGTTGACTTTATGCTTTTCTGAATAGTTTCTGGGATGCTTAGAACTCAAATTGCACTGCTGGAAATAGTTTATTTTGATGCTGTTTTTTTGCAAATTTGCATTATAATATTTATTTTTGTTTTTCCTGCAGTATATAAAAATTGGTGTATTTCAAAGATAAAAACATGAAGACACTCAAAATAAATTTCCTGTGGTAGGAAACTATTTTGTGCAACTTTTTTGTATTTACAGTTTTGAGGGATAAGCCTCTTAAATTTCTCTAATTAGAAATATATGTTAAAAAAACAAAAATGATTTTAAATTTTTTGGTAGTTTATTGCACTTTTTTGCAATTTATGTAATTACTATACACTTAATGCATACATATTATTAAGATTTGGGCTATAATGGTTGTATTGTTGTATATCAACTTGAAATGCTCCCAAAAACGGCACTACAGCATGTAAAAATATAATATAAGCTCTGGCGGACTTGGTTCTATGGTAGGTCCTAAAGGGTTAATGTACTACCCGGGTAGTGTATTGTTTTGAGAGCTCATAAGCTTATCTGTCAAGAAGTAACGCAGTTGTCACTTCTAAGTAGACTGGAAACCTTCCTGCATTGCAGCTGGGGATCCTGAATCCTAGATTTTAGTTTCAAACAAAAAAAAACAAACAACCTGCACGGGGCAGTAAACACATTTCACATGAATAGTATAAAACAAATTAATCACCACTAATGATCAAATACCTCTCACTCTTTGTATATAATGGCTTAATGCAATCAATAATAAAATTAATCAAAGAACCTTAAAACAATTTCCACATCATACAAATTTAACCGTTTAAAACCGGTCGGAGTGGGCATGCGTAACTATTTTTAAACCCCTGTAGAACTGCAACCCCGTAAACTAGCACAATATTTTTTTTGCATATGAAACTGGAGGAGTTGTACTTACATCTTATGCCATCAGCTTGTTCTAGGTCACGGTTTCCTTCAACATATAGCTTTGCATGTAAGAATAAAGTTACGTTGAAACCAAGTATACCATTGTT